TTTTTTTTTTTTTTGTTTTAAACTGTTCTCTACAGGTAAAGCAGAAGACAAAACACCAGCTTGATGTATTCCCTTACCTTGAAAAATAATGTACATTAGCCCTTTGTCTATATAGGTATTACAATTATCTTCATCTGTGGATGTTGTTTTTTTTTTTTTAGATTATATTTAAAAAATTGTTTTTTTTTTTTTTGTTTTAAACTGTTCTCTACAGGTAAAGCAGAAGACAAAACACCAGCTTGATGTATTCCCTTACCTTGAAAAATAATGTACAAGCAGTAGGATGAAACATTGATTTATCAATAGTAATCACAACACTAAATATTTTTTGAGTATTTACTAAGCTAGAATTTGTTTGGAGGATGATAAGGATACATAAATGAATAAAAATAAACTGCTGGGGGGGGTTGGGGGGGGAAGTGCACGGGACCATGGTGATGGCACATGGGTGACTCAGAAACCCACCGCGATTACAATTGAGATAAAAAAAAAGTACAAAATGATGTAAAAATAAACTATCATATTATATTGAAAAGAAAAAAGAGGCCCTCCGTGGTGGCACAGCAGGTTAAAGCACAGCACTGAGAATCTGAAGCCGCTTCCGCATGAGTTCAATTCCCGCCTGCCCCGGAGGTGACCACATGGCGCGGCAGACCTCTCCTGACCTGCCCGCTGCTCCCCTCAGCAGTGTACTTCCTTGATCTGCCTGTTCTGCTCCCCACTCTGTCTCTGGTGAAGCCTCTCACCGCCCCTGAGCCTCTGGCCTGTACCCCAGCTCTGTATGCACAAATAAATAAATCTTAAAAAAAAGAAAAGAAAAGAAAAAAAATAAAACAAAAAAACCTGCTGCTCTTAAGTAGTTTACACAAATTAGGTACAACAGATAAGAAAATAATTATAATATAGTTAATATGCTGTGCATATATTTTATTTCTCAAAACATTCAGCATAAAGATGATATACTTATTCCATAGATTTAGGTTCTGATGATTAATTTTCCACTTACTTCAAAGTCCAGTATGCAGTAATTATGTGTTTTCAGATGGTAGAGACATAATTAATCCAGAAATATTTTTCCGTGAAATAAAAAGTGGTATTTACATGAATATCAAGAAAGATACATTGAATTTGCAACCTTTACAGAACAAGTTCTCCAGATAAATTGTGGAATCCTTAAGTTGAAGACCATACCTATTTTCTTTTAATTTTAAGATATATTTATTTATACATACAGAGTTGGGGACAGGCAAGAGGTGCAGGGGCTGGTGAGAGGATTCACCAGAGACAGAGTGGGGAGCAGAACAGGCTGACTGACAAAGTACACTGCTGATGGGAGCAGTGGGCGGGTCAGGAGAGGTCTGCCACGCCATGAGAATCACCTCGCCGGTGAGGATAAACTCATGCTGAAGTTGCTTTAACTTCTCAGTGCTGTACTTTAACCCGCTGTGCCACAAGGGAGGGCCCCATACCTATTTTCTTTCCTCTTTTAATATCCATAGTGATAATAGAGTTTAGCAAATATAGCATTATATTTACTGAATCAAACTTTTATTATAAAAAAATTAACAAGGATTGATTTTTTAATTCTCTTTTTTGTCTATAACCTTTACATGCTTAGGTTAAAAGACACAACTAAATTCCATAGAGAAAAGGGACCAACTGGGCCCTTCCTAGTGGTGCAACAGGTTAAATCACAGAACTATGAAGCTATTCTGCCACTGCAGCATGAGTTGGATACCTGGCCAGGCAGGTGGCACAAATGGCCTGGCAGACCTCTCCTGACTACCTGCTGTTCCCCGCAGCAGTGTACTTGGTTGATATGCCCTTCTCTTCCCCACTCTGTCTCTAGTGAACCCTCTCACCTGCCGTACCTCTGACCTGTACCCCCATTCTGCAGGCATAAATAAATCTTTAAAAACAAAGGGATCAATTGTGAGTATTGAAAAATGTGTTTATATAAGTAAGGGTTGATAAAAGAATCAATGTGAGGTCCTTAAAAAACAGCATGAAATTTTAAATTTAAAATTTTTATCATGCTACTAAAATAAAGCATCATAAAATAGTATAGCAAAGAAAATGCAATAACTAATGTTTCATTTATATTTTCCCTGTAGGTGTGGTTAAAGTGGCTGCCATAAGTTGGACATAAACTTAGTCAAAGGAACAGAAAGGCTAAACTCATATTCTATGCATTAAATGAATATATTTACTTTTACATACACATTGCACATTGGACCAGTAATGGATATAAATAATAACTGTGATACCTAGTAAGTATAGATTTGTTGTGTTTTTTGGGTTGTTCTCAAAGCTGCTGGCTATTAATGAATGACTATTAAATCAACATATAGTTACTAAGTTGATATTTCTATCTTCAATTTAAATGCTGTAAGTTGTCCTCATAAAAGGTAATTTTAATATGGGAGTTGTTGGGATAAATAACAGAACTGACCAAATCAGGATGGATGTCAAATCAGGATGGATGGCATATATAAACAAAGCCATAATTTAAAAGATCTTACTGTAATATATAGCAGGTTCTTGAATAGCTTCATTCAATGTCATTTCATTACTGTTGCTGAGAAAAAGATACCCAGCTAAATCCAATAAAATGATGCCATTGAAGGACCTGATTTTGTTATGTGTTCTAAAGTCATAGATTCCAGCAACTTATTGATGATGTTACGATTCCAGCAACTTATTGATGATGTTACGAGAGTGCTTAATATATTATTAATTTAATAACTAAAAATATTAAGCAGTCAAGAATTCAAGTTTATAAAAATGAATCCAACTTTTTTTAATGATCATGTATCAATATGCCTATTTACAAATTAGAATAAAAGATTCTAACTTGTGAGAACAAGTTATTTTTAAAAACTAAAAACTCATTGTATTAAATTAGTATTTAATGATGATGATTACGAATCACAAAAAAACCAAGAAAAATAATTTTACATGTTAATAAATTGAATTCTGGGTTAGGGCTAACAACTTTTAGCAAAAATATACTTTTTTAAAAAGTTTAACATTACAACAACAAAAAAGAAGGGAGAGAGAGAACTTGAATGGTGACAGAGATTTAAGTAGACAAGTTACTAAGACTTTTAAATCTGGAGGAAAAAGGGGGTACACTTAAGTGTTATGAGTATCATTTTTCAGGTTTCTCAGTCTATTACCGTGATTAGTGGTATGGAATTAATCTTTATAACATGTTAGTGACTTTCTTACCTAGAGAGCATGCCCAGAGGTGTAACATTAAGTGATCCCATCAGCATTGCCAGGGCCATCCCTGGCGCTTCCCGCTCTATTACTTCTTTTGTGGCCTGTAATTAAAGATTAAATAGCAGACTGAGTGAAATTAGTCAAAGGAAGGAAAGCAGAGTAGTAAAATTAACTTAAAAATAATTGCAAATTATGTTTCCTATAAAGTATACTCTGTAGCTGAGAGAACATTGTTTTAAAGGTATCAAGGCAGTTCTTGGGGACCACTGAACAAAATAAGGACAAAAGATCCCATGCACTTTTATATTAGCATTCGTTTCCTTTCCTTTGCAATTCTAGGCATTTTACATTTTATAGAATTGCCATTTAGGGCCTGCCTGGTGGCACAATGCATTAGGACTCAGTACTGCAAGCTAACCTCAGCTGCTTCAGTGCAAGTTCCATCCCTGCCCGGTAGGTGACCCACATGGAGCAGCAGCCCTCTTCTTTCTCACCAGCTGCTCTCCTCAGCAGTGTACTTCCTTGATCTGTGTGTTCTGCTCCCCACTATGTCTCTGGTGAAACCTCTCACTGCCCCTGCATCTCTAGCCTACACTCCAGTTCTGTGTGCATAAATAAATAAATCTTTTTTAATAAAATTGCCATCTCACTTAATAACATAAATTTAACAATGAAGCTTCAGATTGCTGTAATAGCTCAATAGATTTTCATAGGTAATAAATTTGGATATTAATTTTATTAACTTAAAAATATTAGTTCCTGAAATCTAAGATCATCTTCTCTATTATACAATTAAAATTAAGTCAAGAGGTCACCAAGCCAACTTTCCCAAAGAACTGGGTAAAAGAAAAAAATGAACATTAACAGTGTTCATATCTTCACTACAAATCAATTATTTTAAAAAAGAATAAAGTTATAAATTACAATAGATAGTTTAAGATAGGTCATTTTATATGGTTAATCCTAAAAAAAAAAAAAACTAGTAGAGGAGACAAGAAAACATTTCATATTGTAAAGTTCAAAGTAGATATATATTTAACATACTGTGATGGTAGAGATATATTTTAGGCTAAAGTTATGAATGAAATACAGAACTGAATCCATTTCTAATCCTGCTTCTACAAATATAGTAACTTATAATAATTAGGCACAATATGGGAATAAAGCTTGCAAAATAAAGAATTGCAGTAAATAAGAAGAAAGGTAAATGAAATAGGTAAGTTAGGAAGCAAATTAGAGAATGCCTGATATTTCTGTATTTCATTTGAAGTAGAATGAGAGTCCTAAAACAGCTCTGGCAAAATTTAGGTTGAGGGAACTTGGCAAAGCAGTTAAAATACATCCAGTATATATTAAAAGCTAACTGATGTTATAAACTTTAAATATGCATACAAATCGGTGAATCCCATATAATTTCACGGAAAAAAGGATTACCAGAATTGATGTAAGATATATGTCCACTGAATGCATAATGCATTACTTAACAATGGCAGAACATTTTGAGGAAAACCAACATCACCATCTTTCCCCCCCAATAAAGACTGCTTAAAAATAGAGGGTCAGCAGGCAAGAGATAAGAAAATTCTTAAATTCTGGGAGTAAATTATTTATTTATTTATTTATTTTATTTGTGCATACAGAACTGGCGTACAGGCCAGAGGTACAGAGGTGGTGAGCGTATTCACCAGAGACAGAGTGGGGAGCAGAACAGGCCGACTGACCAAGTACATTGCTCAGAGGAGCAGAGGTTGAGACAGGAGAGGTCTGCTGAGCCATATGCATCACCTCCAGGGTGGGGTCGAATTTATGCTGAAGTGGCTTTAGCTTCTCAGTGCTGTATTTTAACCTGCTGAGTCACCAGGGTGGGCCCCAAATTACTTTCTTTTAAATGTATAGATAGGTATAATTGAAGCTCTATTCATTACCTAATTTGCAATGTTTCACCATTATTTGGTTCAAATCACCAAAGTTTCTCCAATAAATTGGTGTAATCAGATGCAAATTTATAAATGTTGGTATCTGATTTTTACATATTATTAATCCAAGGAAAAACACTAGTTTTTTTCATGTAACTAGGATTTACATATCTCTTGACAAGTCCCCTCATAATTCCTAGGATTGAGTCAAGAAGTAGATTAACAGCAAAAAGTCTTCTAAGGGCATCTTGTTTTGATGTTCTCTAAGGAACTAATAGCTCATGAACCAAAGAAAATTCATCAATGGTCATATGAATTAGCTTCTTTACTTCACTGTTCATGGAATTCAGAGGGCAATTGTGGGAAATTTAACACGAGGTAAAAAGCCCCTTTATAAAGTGAAATCTACAATATAGATATTTTACAATGTGCTTATTAATAAGTCAAATTATGGGATGAGGAAAAACATACACGTGAACATTGCCAACCTAATATTACCCAGACTCTATCCCTTGCTTTCCAAAATCAAACTACTGGTATTCTTTTGAAGTTTCTTGAGAAGAAACCCTATTTTCATGTTATCAAATGCTTTATGGAGAATTACAACTTCTTCTGAGGGATCTTAAAGTCATAGAGCCCTAACAATCAATTTTGGTCGTTACTGAGAACAACGTAAGAGAGCTCTTTGGATTTGGCTAATATTTATTTCAAAGCTTCCTTGAAAAATTCACATTAAAAAATGGATGACATTTAATTAATTTGGGGTCCGCATAAAGATTATGTATTCTAAAGTATAGCTAGCACATTTTAAAGCTAAAGGAAGGAAATAACAAGCAACAGCACAGTTTCATCTAAATAGATCCTTCAAAGTACATTTACCCATTACACAACAAATATTTATTAAGTACCTATGATGTATTAGGTATTCTATGCAGTATGCCTCATTTTACTTTCCAAAGAATTATTTTACTGAACTTTGCTTTTGTGATAAGGAATTGAATCCAACATAAAGGCCCAGTGAAACTCACAGCTGTATTAGGAAACATCTGAGCCATTGTTGATCACATTGTACTGAGGTCCTCTTTGGGAACATCTATAAGAAAAATTTCCTCTCAAGTGTCATAACTAGGAATGGGTACTCTTCTATTCTACCAGTTCCCTGTTGAATTATGATGCCTATGAATCAAGTTACCCTTGAGAACAGAGACAAATTTGCCAATCCCCTGTTAGCAGACTTACTGAACAAGATCTAATTTCACTTTATTTTCCCTTGTCCTATTTTCCCATATATATCTTATTAATATTCTGTTTTTTTCTATTGTATTTTGTAGCCCATCTTAACATTCTTAGTGTCTTAATAAATAATATGGATGATAAGTGAATCTATATATTCTTTATACAGAGGTCTTCATCTTTTTCCAAACATTGTTCACATAGGATAGTTAATTGATTTTGAAGGCTTTCCAGAGAATTTGCATTAACACATAACTTGTATATGTTAGAACATAAGAGAAAAACATGAATTGTGGTGATGCCACTAAAAAGATTTAGTTCTGATAGTGGTAAAAGGGGGAGATTGTTAGATTCTCTTTAGGACAAGACATAAAACATCCTTTTGATAGGATGTTGCTAAATAATACACAAATTAGATTCTTTTAATTATCTTATTAAGTATTATTGTTTTACAGCTTTGTTAATATTTTGATACTATAGAACTTCTCCCCTTGGGTGAGTTCATTGTAGCTCTCCCACCACCAAAGCAACCATTAACCTTCTGCCATAGTGTGTTATGTTTCCTTTCCCTTTTATTCCCTGTTCTCACTCATCCCCCTCTTTTTTTTACATCTATATAAAACACATCTTTTCTATACAACACCAGAATCCTTGTTTCCTTATTTTTTCTTCCTTTTACACTGGTATAGCAGAAAGATCATAGTGAAGTCAGAAAATGCCACTACTTATTTCAGGCCCAAGAGATTAAGGGCTAGAGCTGTTGCAGCACCTAACACAGTGCTCAACATACAAAAGTATATGTGCTCAATAAATATTAGTTGAATAAATGAATTAATGAATAAATCAACCAATTTAGATTGAAACCTGGCTTCATCACTTAGTTGCTCTGTGATTTAGAATAAAATATTTAACCTTTTTGAGCTTCAGTGAACTTATTAATGAAAAGTAGATGATAAAAAATACCTACATCATACAGGGGGGATAGGAAGTTACAAAATGAACTAAGCAAATTACCTAGCACATAAGAGGTATTCAATACATATCAATCTCTCTTTTCTTCTACTTTCCAGACCTCCTTATATCCTTACATATTTGATTATCAGAACAAGAATGATACCATTCTCAGGCACTTAAAAATGGTCTGGAGAACTAGATATGAGAGGAAGGGAAATGGAGAATAAGAATGTAAATCTAATAACACTGGTAAGTGGAAGGCAGGAAGTAGAAGGCTGAAAGTGTAGGATTTTTTTGTGCTGACAATAAAATAATAGGAGTTAAAAGTGTACAGGCAAAGAAATGAATTGGGAATTGGAAGGTGGATGGAAGAATTAGGTTAGATGAAATAATCTATAAATCATACATAGGAAGGTATACTTAGGAAGATAAAGAACATGAGGATACTTTCAAATAAGGAGGGAAAGCTATCTGTTTAAATAATTAGAAAATCTAAACATAAGGATTGTTTTAACAAATGTAGCTTTAGTATTTCAATAATATATGCCAGTAAGGTACAGATAAATCCTACTAGATAAAGGATATTTTGCATGTTAACAAACAGATAACATACATTCATTATCGACAGACTACTCATAATCAATCAGTGGTAAAAGGATGCTATTAAAAGCTTGGCATCATTTTTTCTCAACTAAAGTTCCAATTTCTACTTTATTTTGCAATCTTTATTTTTTTTTTCTTGAAACAGTAAGATATTATATGCTTCAGTTATAAGTTTTCTTGAACTAGCTTAACTGGGTATAGCTATTCACTTTAACTTCTATATACTTTCTAAACTATGAAAGTTGCAGTCTCCTATGGAAATCACATAATGTAGTCTTCTTTGACCCTTTACACTTTGAAGATGAGTATGTCAGAAAGATGTTTTAAAAACATCTGAAGAAGGTGTTAAAAAAAAAAAAAGAAGAAGAAAAAGTTTGCAACAGTCCAGGTAACTT